ATGGGTGGGAACTTATAGCAAAGATAAAGATTTTGGCAACATATAAAAGGGCAAAAGACCAACAAATGGACAGCAAAGTTTCACGTACAGCTATGCAATACCTCGTCCTGCTCGCTTTGGCTGCCGGTTCTAGCGCCTTCCTTCTTGGAGGTGGTGGTGGTTGTGGATGCGCGTAAGTTTTTGTTTACCAAACTCTTTTAGATTGATTTTGCTTAAGGGATTTTGCTTTTCAGACCTCCTCCTCCTCCTCCTTCACCATGCGGATGCGGTGGTGGTGGCCTCTCTCTTCCGCCTCTTCAACTACCCTCACTATCCCTGCCATCTCTCGGTGGTGGCTGTGGATGCGCTCCTCCTCCAGCTCCATGTGGATGTGCTCCTCCTCCACCGCCACCATGTGGTGGTGGATGTGGAGGTGGTGCTCCTCCTCCAGTTTATGCTGCTCCTCCTCCACCAGCTAATGCTTATCCAGTTCCTGGAAAGTAAATCACCTCCGCACCCACATTACCTCACGACACCTCAGGAATATAAACCACGAGTTCTTCTGTTTTCTGTATATGTCTGGCTATTTATAAAGAATTAATCACTTCAAACTTTTTTAATACACAATGGAAAGAAATAGAATGAAAGGAGGAAGGAATTAGCAGAGAAATTTTTTTCGATTGGAATGATTCTGAAAAGCACTGTCTAAAACAGTGTAATGTACAATTCGTCGCAAAACTGTCCGTACGCTGATTGATACAGTAGCAGCAGAAAAGTGCAAAATCAAGGCCGATCAGCCAGCACACCGAATCCAGGCAGCTACACAAAAACAAAAAGCAGCTTACAAAAAGTAACCGAGACCAAAGGTGTAGAGTGCAGAAGTATGGTTTCGCAGATTTCAAATCTATGCATCAATAAAGTGACCTATGCTACCAACAATAGAAGTTCTAACTAGAGTAGTATGACTTAAGAGAGATAATAATGAACTTTTTGAAAAATCGTTAGTACTGTTTTCTGCCAGTTTTCCTAATTAGCTCCTACAATTTACTTTCACTGTAATATTAAATGTGAAAGGAAACGCTCTCAAAAATTAATGCTTCTTCAACTATTCTGAGGATTCCGATGTTAAAATCTAGTTGAAGAGACTAATGCAGTCTTTTCCTTCCCATAATCATTTAAGTGCTCAACTTTTCAGAGATAGTGATCTTTCCGCTTCGCTCACTTTCCAAATCGATTTACAAAGTTTAGTAAAGAGGTTAATAACAAATTAATGAATGAGCTTGATGGAAATGATGTTAATGCCTAGTAATTGTCATTGAGTCCTAATTGATAAATTTTAGAATTTTGTGATCCTAGTTTGATCTTGTGGAATTTGATTCAAAAGCAAAAATCAATAAAAAATCGTTCATTGGTTTATTTACTACTTAATTTCCAAAATTGTTCCAGCACCTGCTGGACATAGTTTTTTTTTTAAATTGGATC